TGCTAAGCCACAACCCTAGTCCCCTAATGTCTGTTTTTTAAAAAGAAATAAAAATGTCTTTGGAAACTTTGTGTAAGTTTTTGATCACTGTTCTGCAATTATATTTTTGATAGAATGTTCACAGTGTTGCCTGTAGTTTGAGGAGTCACTTTAATAATTAAAAGGGCAAATGAAAGGTCACCGTATTATCTAACCATCATAGATTCTGGGGAAGTTCAAAGAATGCTCCTTGGTACCTTTTTGAATAGTTGGGAGGAAATTTGCCCAATATTATGAGTAACACAGACTGAGGGATGATTCATAGGTGAATTCAACAGATTGACCTTTCAGTTGGGTCCAAGTATTGGGAAGAACATTGTACAATGACACAGAGATAAAGATTTAGGAAATAAGGAAGATTTGGGACTGGTGACTATGAAGCTATAAATGTTGGGACCAGATGGAGAAAGGACCTGATTAGAGTTCTCCTTGCCTGCTTTATCAGCTTGATAGAGAGGTTAATTAGAGATGGGAAAGGATCATGTTGACAACAAGTTTAAAGAAAGTCTGGTTCTTGGTAGGAGATTCCTATGGAGAGGAGGGAAAGAACCAAGCCAGTTTTTAGGAAGTTTTTTCCCCACTTATGAGAAAGATTATAAATATTTATAAAAATATAAATGTTATAAGTATTTATAAAGAAATGCTCTTACCTCTTAGGGAAAGAGTGGAATGATGGTGCTACATTTGCTTCCATCCATAAAGCCAGGATAGATGGGCATCTTCACAGAGCTTTTCAGGCTTTCTGACTTCAGATAGGGAGAGGAAGTGACAAAGATGGTTTGATTGAAAATCCAGGAAGTTAAGCACAAGAACAASGTATGGATTGTGTGTTTGATACAAATTGCCATTAGTGATGGGCCAGGAGGCATGTGTATCAAGAGGATCATGGTGGTTTATTGTTGCCAATAAGCAGTCAGCTAGATGATGGAGTTGCCATTGATGCCTAGAGAAACTGCTTCCCAGGAGTCCCTGTTCAGGCCTCTGTCCATAATCATGATCCTAGATGAGGAGGGGATTGGGAGGGGGGGGGTTTCCAGTGATGGATTCACTGGCATTAACAAGTTCCCAACAATTGGAACCCAACATACCTCATTATCAGAGGAATACACAACAAAATGGGGGGTGGTGTGGGAAAGGAGATTTGCGGTAAGACTTTGCTATGTACCCCACTGCCCTCTCTATGCCCTGTCCCCATCTGGTGCTGGGACAACTGGGAAAGTTTGAAGTAGAGGAGTTTTAAAGTGGATAGGTGGACAGGACTGGGTCTTCCCTGAAAGTGATTGAAAAGTTATTTGATAGATGTTAGAAGGGACTGTCACTGGCACTTTTGTCCCAATGAGGCAATTATTTTTCTCAATAAGACCTTTTTTTTTTTTTTTTGTAAGAATTGATTTGAGACAAGATAACTAAAAATTTAAGTCTAAGTTTATGAAAATTAGGCTAGCAACCTGCTTTGCACCACCATCCTAGCTGAAAAATCAGTTTACTTAGTAATCTAGTTTTACTTTTTAACAACTTCCGTGAATTATGAAAGAACATTTTATACATATGAAATACCTCTCCAATCTTGAGCAACTGTAGTCCTGAGTAACACCAAATTAGAAGTTTGAAAGAATGTTAAAACACATAAGATAAAGTTCAAAGAATATTTTATGTTCTGTAATTGCTTGAAACATCTAGGAGAGCTAGGTCCCTTATCTCCTCTAGAAGTGTGTATAGACTYTGCCCCTTTGTTTGGCAGTATTCTTGATATTCTTCCTGAATGATGTTTACTTTGACTTCTTGGGCAAGCTGAGCTTCTTCCATAGATCTGGTCACTTCTTTCACTAATTCACTCTTCAGCAAGAGAGAACTCTGATGAAAAAGTTCTGTGTTTGGTATCATGTACGGTTTGTTGCTTATTATTTCAAGCCTGATTGTATCAGAATGGCAACGCAAGGCTTGTACAGATATTCTTACCTATCATGGAGGAAAAAAATGCATATTACTAAATCAAACTCTTTGTTATTTACAATGAAAATAATACTTAATGTAAATATAGACTTACTGTCACATGGTCAAACAAATGGAATGTAACAGATTGCCCTGCTGTTGTGGTAGAGATTATTTTGTTTTGAAATCGTTGAAGAGATCCTGGTTTCCATTCAGAACGGCTATCTGGACCACATGAGATCACTAAACCATCTTTATTTTTTAGATAAGCAGCACCTTTAATCCCAAACCTGAATCAGGGCCAGAATAAAAATTCAGAGATAATGTACTTAGTATATAGATATTGTATGTTTATCTAGGATGCTAGTTTTTCTTCTAGATTAAAAACACCACTTTTCCCATGGTTTGTTTATTTTTCTATAGCAAATGAGAACACAAAATATTTAGCTACATAAGATCCTAAAATAGATATAGATGGACATACATATGTACTCGAGAGTATTCTAGGGACCAACCCCTCGGGAAAGGGTCTATGGGTGAGAGAATGCCCCAAAGCGGTAGGTGGATTTTGGCCCAGCCCAAGCCCTTCTGTCTGAGGAAGGAGGCCCAGAGTCCCAGGTGACACTAAGTTGCCCCCATTTTGTATCTATGGTAACTTTATAAATAGTTGCTTAATATTTTTATTTTTTGCAGTCTGTGGGATCAAACCTAGGGCATCGTGCATGCTACGTAAGCACTCTACCACTGAGCTATGTCCCTAGCCCTAAATRAATACTTTAGTAAATTATATCTAATGTACTGTTTTGGTTCTACATTTTTAGTTTAATTCTGATTTCTTATTACCTATTGCACTGGATGCGACATACCTCGGTATAAATACAAGCACACCATTTGTTCTAATTGAGTAAATAACTCCATCAGATATGCATCGCTCCTCAGTTTCAGGGTCCTTGTCTTTAAAGTACATGCACTGGAAGAGCTCAGTAGACTGCTTCTGAGAATGCTGTGCTGCCTGGAAGAAGCAAAACCTTGAGCATTATAACAGACCTTCCTGACATTCCCAGAAGAAACCTGAAATTCAGTTTTTTTTTTTTTAGAGAGAGAGAATTTTTAATATTTATTTTTTAGTTATCTGCAGACAGAACATCTTTGTATGTGGTGCTGAGGATCGAACCCGGGCCTCACGCATGCCAGGCGAGCACGCTACCACTTGAGCCATATCCCCAGCCCTGAAATTCACATTTCTACAGAAAATATGTCTTTAAAAGGGTTAGAAGATGTTTAACTATTATTAATATAAAAACTGTTTTCTATTATGAATCAAATCAATTTTTTGAGAACTTAGTATATCCAGTATTATCCCATCAAAATGTCATAGAAAATAGATTATTTTATAAAAATAAACTTTTTTAGTTCATCGAAGTAGAGGCTGGCAAATTTGGGACATGTCCTTAGAGCACAGAAAAAGTATTTATATATATATATATATATATATCCTGTCTTTTTCAAGGCTGGGCTGCCAATGTCTCTTTGGTGGAAGTGTAAATTAGCCCTACTATTACTGAGCAATTTAGTAATATGCATCAACATTTTATTTCTGTATACCTTTTGACTCAGTAATTCCCTTTCTAGGATTTACCCAGGCAATAATCTGAAAAATCCATAACAATGTATGCACTAGGATGGTTATAAACAAAACTTTCTGTAATGATGGAAATGTTCTGTATYTGTTACTAATAGGTGGCTGCTAACCACAAGTGAACTGAATTTTTAATTYTAAATAATTTAAATAATCATTGTGGCCAGTGGCTACAGTATTGTACAAYAGAGAACACAAACATTGGATACAGAATATTATCTTTTTTTTAAAGGAATTTATTTATTTATTTATTTATAATATTTATTTTTTAGTTTTCGGCGGACACAACATCTTTGTATGTGATGCTGAGGATTGAACCCCGGGCCGCCACGCATGCCAGGCGAGCGCGCYACCGCTTGAGCCACATCCCCAGCCCTACAGAATATTATCTTAAACATTTAGTTACTTTGTAATATTCTGCATCACCCAATGGTTTAGTTCTATACAATCTTATAACTACTAGTAATAATATGAAATAGAATAAAAAGTAGCTTCTAAAATAATGATATAGTTATAGCAACATGATATGCTATCAATTATAGGTTATATAAATGAAAAAATTTAAAACAGCAGATATTGTATATTTTATAAATGAAAATGTTAGCGCTGTCTAGAGTTGAGTGGCAAGGGGTTAGGTGAATTTTTTGTCTTCCTATCTTTATGTATTGTTTGAACCTTTATATTCCTGCCTTTTGGGAAGAACATCTAAACTATCATCAAATTTGGAAATTCAAGACAACCATGCTGATGTGTTCCTATAGTCCCAGCTTCTAGGAAGGCTGAGGCCAGAGGATCATTTGAGCCAAAGTTTGAGACTAACTTGGGCAACATAGTGAGACTTTGTTAGTAAAAAAAAAAAACAAAAACAAAAAAACAAAAACTCCCAAATCCACATGTTATCTAAGAATACTGGCAAATATATTAAGAGTATTGTTAGAATATAATTATAGAATTTGTTAATGTGTATGGTATTCCATTCTATAATAAAGCTCAGTAGTAGCGCGCTTGCCTAGAATGCGTGAGGCACTGGGTTTGATCCCAGGTACCACATATAAATAAATTTAAAAAACAACAAAAAAAAAAAAATAAAGAGATGATGGTAAAAGAATTGTAAAATGTCTTCTTACTCGGTTTCTGTTGTTGATATGTCTGCACAATTCCTCAAGATCCTTGTTGCTGAGTAGGTTTTCTTTCATTTCCATTTTCTTATCTTTTGAAATGGCTGCCATTAACAATCTGTGWACTACAATATCTGAATATCTTCTTATTGGAGAAGTAAAATGGGTATATTTATCTAACGCAAGACCTTCAGAAAGAAACGAAAACATCAGAATTAACAAAAAATGTCTATGCTTTTTAAACAAATTGCTGAAGGTTACAGTCACAGAAGAAAATTTTATCATTCACCATAATGATGGAACTCTTCCTCCGCACATGATCCAGTAGAGAAATACAGTGCATTAGACATAGCCTGCGTAGCCATAGAGCGTAGCAGTCTRTTTACAATAGGATCATTGGGGTCATTAGCATTATCCAGAGAATCAGCCAGTGTTTTATTGGACCTAATAAAGAACAGAAAAACCTTTATGTAGTCCCAAAGTTAAGGTAGAAGTAAGGGTTTATGGGGAACCCTTTGCTTTTTGGTCTGATTACCTTTATCTGCCAGCAGTTAAATTTCTTTTGGACACATTTCAGAAGCAACTCTTTTTAATTACAGAAATCTAGTTTGCTTTYAGGATTTGAACAAAAGAAGAATGTCACAGATTAAATAAATTTCTTTAGTAAAGCATTGTCCTGAATAATACTAGGTTGAGTTMATTCTTGTAAATAGTAGGTGGTTAAATTCTTACCAAGTTGAATTCTTTTTTTTTTTTAATATTTTTTTTTAGTTGTAGATGGACCTTTATTTTATTTATTTATTTTTATGGGGTGCTGAGGATCGAACCCAGTGCCTCACACATGCTGGGCAAATGCTTACCACTAAGCTACAGCCCCAGACCCCCAAGTTGAATTCTTTTTTTGTGGGGGGTACAGGAATTGAACTCGGGGGCACTTRACCACTGAGCCACATGCCCCAGCCCTATTTTGTATTTTATTTAGAGACAAGGTCTCACTGAATTGCTAGTGCCTCACTTTGCTGAGGCCGGGCTTTGAACTCGTGATCCTCCTGCCTTTGCCTCCAGAGCCACTAGGATTACAGGCATGTGCTACTGCATCTGGCCCAAGTTGAATTCTTTTTTTTTTTTTAATATTTATTTTTTAGTTGTAGTTGGACACAATACCTTTATTTATTTATTTTTATGTGGTGCTAAGGATCAAACCCAGGGCCTCACATGTGCTAGGCGAGTACTGTACCACTGAGCTCTAGTCCCAGCCCCCCAAGTTAAATTCTTAAAATACTTAATTTTAAAAATCCAAAAATCTAATACAGGTCAAATTTTTTTTTTTTTTTTTTTGTGGGTACCGGAGATTGAGCCCAGAAGCAATGTACCATTGAGATAACATTTCCAGCCCTTTTTTCATTTTTTTAAATTTTGAGACAGGATCTTGCTGAGTCTAGCCCCAAACTTGAAGTCCCCCTGGCTTAACCTGAGTTGCCTATGCCTGGCAGCCTTTCTTTTTAAATATGCTCTYAACCACTGAGCTACATCTCTACCCCTTTTAATTTTAATTAGAGACAGGGTCTTACAGAGTTGCTTAGGGCCTCGCTAAGTTGTTTTGGTGGCTTTGAACTCACAATCCTCCTGACTTAGCCTCCCAAGCTCCTGGGATTACACACATGTACCACCAYGCCTGGCTCAAAATAATTTTTTAAAACCCAACAAGTAGGGCTGGGTTGTAACTCAGTGGTWGAGCACTTGCCTAGCATGTGTGCCTGAGGCCTGGGTTTGATCCCCAGCACCACATAAAACTAAATAAACAAACCAGGAAATACAGATGTATATAAATAGTTAAACTAGCCAGGGACTGTGATGTCTTCCTGCAATCCCAGCTGTCTGAGTGGCTGAGGAAGGAGGATTCCAAGTTTGAAAGCCAGCCCCCTGGCAACTTAGTGAACATTATTTGAAAAAAATAAAAAGGGCTGGGTACATAACTTGCCTAGATGTGGAGGACTCTGGGTCTGATCCCCAACATGGCAAAAATAAAGATCTGCCAATGTACAGTACTTCCTGCCATTCATCTGCCTGCCTCAAAGGAGGAATACCGTGTATCAATGAAGAAGCCTTTTGCTTTAGCACATTCCCGGAGCTCAGAAAAAAACTCCTGGTGTGGAGAAGGATGTTGGCGCAACAAGGCTTGATGAGGGAAGTTCTCCCAGATCTTCTTGGCTACCCAGTGGTTGGCCAGGATCATGCATTCAGCCACTGTCTCATGGACCTCCAGGGGTTGCTTGGGGATGAGGTCATGAATATTCTTTTTTTCATCGAGCTGCACTCGAACCTCTACCCCTTCCAGTTCCAGGGCACCACAACGGTCTCGTTTAGCTCGGATATGGCGAGCTATATCAGTCAACTTTCCAATTGCCCATACTAATTCCTCCAGTTTGGCTTGTCTGCTCTTCTCATCCAAGTCTTTAAGTTCTGGAATATCATCAACAATGCTGAAGTTTCCATCCAGTAGTTCCTGGGCTGCTTCATAGAAGAGTTTATAAGCTGATCGGATAATGGTTCTGCCATACCACACTTTCTTAATTTCATAAGAGGTTTCATCCAATTCCCACATGACACTTACAGCATACCTACAAAACCAGTAACATCAACAACATCACTATTCAGCTCTTATTTTTGAAGCAAACAGAACTTGACCCTAAATGTAACTTGAAAGAAATTACATCACTACAGGTTTTTGGTCCAATTACTCAATCCAACCACACTAATAATAAATCAAAATGTATTTTAACTTTAATCAAAGATGTTAGGCTAGGTTCTAAGTTCTGAAAAAATCTGAAATGAGTTTATATGTAAYAATACATAATCTACTTTACAGGTCTCCATTTTGACTAGAATATACTGGCACTGATAGAAGAGGAGTCTATTTAGCTTCCCAGGATAATACAGCAAAGCCTTTTAGATTCTACAGGATGACAGTAAGCTAAGGTACCAGTCTTGATGACAGCTTAATTTAGCAAATGTTCATTCAGCAAAGAACCATTTTGCCATCAAAACACGTTGTTTCCTGGGTTGGTGGTGCACGCCTATAATTCCAGTGACCAGGAAGGCTGAGGCAGGAGGATCACAATTCAGACCAGCCTCCGCAGCTTAGTAAGACCTTGTCTCAAAAAATAAAAAGGTTTAAGGTTGTGGCTCAGTGGTTAAACACCCCTAGATTCAATCCCTGGTACCAAAACACTTCATTTAAAAACTAGTTGGTGTGGTAGCCCATACCTATAATCCCAGTATCTGGGGTGGCAGAGGCAGGAGGATCACAAATTCAAGGCCAGCTTGGGCAACTTAGCAAGATCTGTCTCAAAATTTTAAAAGGTCTAGGGATGTAGCTCAATGCTAGAACACTTGCCTAGCATATAGTGAGGCCCTGCGTTTGATCCCCAGTACTGCTAAAATGTGTTTATGTATGTATACACAATTTGTATTTGGAAAAAAAAAAGACTAATTTACCCATATCTAAAGAGTTCTCAAGTCAGTAATGGATCACACAACCAAACTGAAAATGGGAAACGAATAAGAATCCCACAGAAAAGGATACACAAATGATTGTGAAACATAAGAATGTTTAACTTTCTTCATAGTAGAAAAAATACAAATTAAAACTACTGTGGGCTGGGTATGTGGCTCAAGCGGTAGCGCGTTCGCCTGGCATGCGTGCGGCCTGGGTTCGATCGATCCTCAGCACCACATACAAACAAAGATGTGTCCACAGAAAAAACTAAAAAATAAATATTAAAAATTCTCTCTCTCAAAATAAAAAAAAAATAAAAACTACTGGAAGATACCATTCTTCAGGCTGGGACTATAGCTCAGTGGCAGAACACTTGCCAGGTATGCGTGAGACACTGGGTTCGATCCTTAGCACCACMTAAAAATAAAACAAAGGCATTTCTGTCCCTCTACAACTACAAAAAATTTCYTAAGACGGACACAGTAGCACACGCCTGTAATCCCAGCAGCCATGGAGGCTGACACAGGAGAATAGTAAATTCAAAGCCAGCTTTGGCAACTGCAAGGTGCTGAACAATTTGGTGAGACTCTGTCTCTAAATGAAATTCAAGATCGGGCTGGGGGATGTGGCTCAATGGTTGAGTATGTCTGAGTTCAATTCCTGGTACAAAAAACAAAAAAATTGTTTTCAAATATCAAATTATCTAAAAGAAAAATACAATGCACTGTGTTGGCAGGGCTGTGGGGAAATAARCACCTGCATACCTTAGTGGTAGGAATATATTGGTGCAAATTCTTGAGGTCAATTTATTTATGCAAACACAAATGATGTACCCTTGATACATTCCATTTCTAAGAATTTAAGATACACTATTTTTTTATTATTAATTTTTTAGTTAGACACAATATCTTTATTTATTTATTTTTATGTGGTGCTGCAGATCGAATCCASGGCCTCGMACATGCTAGGTGAGCACTCTACTGCTGAGCCRCAACCCCAGCCCTAAGATACACTATTTTTTAAAACAYAAAGTGACTTGTGTTCAAAGTAGTTTGATAAWTTTTTTTTTGGTAMCAGGGATTGAACTCRGGCACTSRACCACYGAGCCACATCCCCAGCCCCATTTTGTATTTATTATTAGAGACAGGGTCTCACTGAATTGCTTAGCACCTCACTAAATTGCTAAGGCTGGCTTTTTTGTGTTAAAAAAATCATATTTGTGTACATATTAAATCTAAGAAAAATCTGGTTATCACCAGGTATGGTGGCGCACGACTGTAATCCCAACAGCTCGGGAGGCTGAGGCAGGAAAATCACAAATTCAAAGACAGCCTCAGCAAAATTGAGGCACTCAGCAACTCAGTGAGACCCTGTCTCTAAATAAAATACAAAATAGGGCTGGGGATGTGGCTCAGCGGTTGAGTGCCCCTGAATTCAGTCCCCATACCAAAATTTTTAAAAAAGTCACTGAGAAAAAGCAATAGGAAAGAACATTTCATTAAATATTTTTTGGAATCTGTGAATTTGGATTATATGATTTTATTATCTATTCAGAGATAAACAAACTTTAACTATAATAAATGAACAACTACCTAAATTCATTATTCTGATGTAGAACAGCTTCAACCAGGGAATGCATGTGTACAAAGCTATACACATTTGTTCCCAGACTAGCTGAATTTAAAAGCTAACAGGGAAAAGAACAGAAAGAGGGGAAGGGAAGGCTGGAGAAATAAAGCTGCCTAAAAATAAGTGTACAGCAGAGTTTAGAGGAGACAGGGAAAGCAGGCCACAGGGGAGAGGGTGGTAAGAGATATTGGAAGAGGAAAGAGGCCTGAGCAGAGAGCATCAGGTACCTCAAAGGGCCAAGACAAACTTTTAAGATAAAAATAATAAACTCACCTATCAACACCTCCCAGCAGGGAACACAAATCAGCACTGAGGATAGAGGGCAGCATGTCATAGCGACGATCTGCTAAATAATAAGTGGTGGCCCTGTGAATGACACATATGCAGTGACTGACCTTCAGCCRGGAGAAACAGAACTGCTGACAGCATAGGCTGCAGAGAGGTAAATGGCTGAGACCTCAGTACAGATTCCCCAAGGCTGCTGCTCTTCATAAAGTGCAGCAGACTGCATAATAAAATGATTCCCATGTTCCTACTTTTCTAAATGATTCTCCTTTGGGCTGAATATTCTTCCACTGATGTAAGAAAGAAARAGCAAATCTTGGTCATATAAGAAAAACTGGAGTGTAATGATCCAATGTTTATATAAAAGTAGTATATTACTACATGAAAATTTAACCCATTTCAATTTAGTAGGAATCATGGTATAAAAAGGTTAAAAAAGGAAAGGTAAATTGACCAAGCTACTATTTAAAGGGGGAATGACCACAACTTTTTTTGGAAGGAATTTTCAGAATTGTACAAACATAAAATCTTTGCACATCTGAAATTAGCACAGATAAAAAAAATAATAGTCACATACACACACCATGGTGCTGATCTTACCTTGTTCTAGCTTCCACATCAATGTAAGAATTGGGAGCCACAAAGTGTGTTACGTCTGCAATGTGGACTCCAAGTTCCAGGTTGCCATTATTTAAGGTTCTGACTGACAGTGTATCATCCACATCTTCACAACCTTTGGGGTCAATGCTGAACACGAGATGGGTTTTCCTCAAGTCTTTACGTTCTTGTTCCTCTTCAGGACTCACCTTCCAAGGATTTTCTGGTGTGTTTACTGGCATCTCACACATCTACATGAGAGGCCAAATATTCAGCAATTTATATACCACAAGTTTCTATTAAAAAGCTCTTACATTTTCAATGTAACCATGTAGAAATTTATTAATTTATTAATTATAATTTATTAATTTCCAATTACCTTCTGCATCAACCTATTTTGCTTCTTTTGATCAATCATTATTTAATGGATGCCCCAGATGTGTCAGGCCCTGGGCGAAGGTGTGGAAAGTAGGAGTCAATAGAAAAGAAAGACCCCCTTGAGGACCTTTGCAATCTGACAGGAAATGTCCCGCAATTTCCACCAGCCTCATCAGTTATGGGGGCTAGCACAAAATGAATTAGCAGCTTATGAGTACAAATAATGTAATCCATTTCCAAATGATTCATCTATTTAAATGAAGATTAAGCCTTTTTTTTTCCTTTTCAGTACTAGGGATTGAACCCAGTACTGAAACTTATTGAAATACATCCCCAGCCTTTTTTATTTTATATTTTGAGACAAGGTCTCCCTAAGTTGTGGAGGCTGTCCTTGAACTTGGGATCCTCCTGCTTCA